TTGTAGCTACAAGTTATTGGATGAATTATGTTCTTTGTGAGGTTGTGTTAAGCTACTTTTGTTTCCTTAGTGAAAGGGATTTTCTTTTGGGTATTTAGTTACCCTGTGTGCTTATATAAATCTTTTTACTCCTGAAAAGCAGTCCCCCCCCCCCCTTTCTCCTGGATCGTACTGTTTCAAGTGGACCTCGTTGCAGTGGCTTCTGCTGAGGCTACATGCAAGTGTTGCAAATCATACTTTAATAACTCATGAACTGTTAATTAGTGCAAGTCCATGCATATTGGAGGGTTTTTGCCTGTGATATAGCTTCCCTTGTCAAACTCTGGATCTTAACTTTGAGTCTACTATCTCCCCTCAGCATTGGGACAAAATTGAATGAAATAGACGGAGTAAACTTTTTACCTTTTCTTGTCTGTCGTTTTCCCAATCTGACATCCATTTCTTTCCTAACTTTCATATCCCATTTCTTCTTTCCTAAACTTTATGCAAAGTATGATATAACATTTTTATGCTTTATTTAGCTACTTTAAACACAATAGCCCTACATCTATAATCAACAGATAGCATTCTGCATCAATATAAAACTGTCACTTAATCCTCACTGGATGTTGTGTTGATAGAAGCTCCAAATATGTAACAGGGCTTGCTATTCTAATTTGTGCTTAAGAAGTAGAAATTCCATATGAATTGTGTAACCGATGCTTCTACTTCTGGGTGTCGCTCATCTTAGCTATTAGTATCCACTACCTTTTGCCTTCTGCTTGTATGAGAGATCTCTTCTTCTATTAAGTGATAAACTATTTTTATTTTTTAAGATATAATGATTTTTTTTTTGAGTAACAGATAAAACTTTAAATTGGACTGCTTTGTTTTAAATAAATTGCAACTGAAATCATTTCATGCTAATTTTCATTGATAGAAATAAGGGATAACAAAGAAATAAATCTACATACAGAATATATGAAGAGAATCTTTTTCACGTTATCATGCAAGTGGAGAAAATTTTGAACATAGTTTTATACATTGATGCATTCACACAGGGACCGTCTGGTCATTCCCCCCTCCCTGGGTGGCTAGCAAACCCTTCACGCCAGCATGGGCTGCTGTGGTTTTTTTGGGGCAAGCATCTCGTAACTTGTCATGCGATTAATTATGTCATGTTCTACAGATAACGTGATTTGAGTTTCTATATTACAGGGAGGTTGAGGATTTTGCTAGGAGACTAAACTCTGATTGGCCAGAAAGAATGCAGGAGATTTTGTCCCTGGGTCAAGAGAGGAGGCCTGTACCACTATCTGTGAACGGGAATGGTTCCCTGAGGAGATATACAGGTAGGCTTTTCTTTTATATATCTTGGAACGGATGTGGTTACTGTCTTATGTTGTAATTCTGAACTAAGAGAAGTGCAAAGTTGGATGAATATGACACGGAATAATCTTGCTGAACTGAAGTGATATGTAGGCAACAAATCGTAATAGAGTAGAGCAGCGTGTTCTAGTTCAGATGCTAAAACATAGACTTCTTGTAGCTGACTTCATCTAGTTATTGATTTTTTATGGTTCCTTAAAGATTTTCTCCCTTGGCATAGAGGGAAGTGTTTCTATGTGTTGCCTTGTCATGTCACACCTGGGAGCTTAGTTCTATTACTCGTTAAGTTGCTTTAAGAGCAGAGGAAATTTGCCAAGGGTGTATATAGTCTTGTTGTCTATGTTCTTGTTCTGACAACTAAAACTAATGGTAATTGTTGAGAATATAATTGAGTAAATGAAAGTGTGATTTCTCAATTAACTTAAGCATTTAGATGGGATGGTCACACACTTCATCATGGTTTTAGAGCAAGCAGAGGTCCTAGGGTCGAGTTTCACTGTCACCCTAATCAAAAAGAATTTCCACATGTTTGACCCATGAAAAAGAATCACGCCCACACATGAGGGGGCATGTTGAGAGAAAGTAAATAAAGAGTGCTCATTCTACAACCTAAGTTTGTAGGAGATGGTCACACACTTCAAGCGTAATATTCGTCTGTAATAGAAAAGCAAACAACAACAGAACGAAATAGATAAACATGATGCGTCTTGGTAAAAGTAAGGTCCTTTCCTGAAAGAAAGGATAAGAAATGTCTGCGGTGGTTGGCCAGCTAATTAAGTAAATCCTACCTCCAATTTTTTGTTGGTGGGTTCTCTTTGGTGCTGAAAGAGCTTGCTTGTTCTGGAGCTTTGTTTGTCTCATGGGGTGTCTGAATCATTTTGCAGGTTTGGACAGGAGATAATGGTTCAAATGGTGGATTATGAATCTTTTGGATTCAGTTGAGCACTTGAGCTTAACATGCCAGCTTGTCTGTGTCTGCTGTTTCCAAAAGACAGTAAAGCTTCAGTGTTCATTGCTTGTAAAGTTCTTTCCGCTTATCTATCAGATCAGAAGAGTTCTTTCCACCTGCTGAGCTGCCTAAAGTGATTTCTGAATGTGGAGAAATGACCTGACTGGCTAAAGTTTTAGGGGAATTTTGAGATAGAAGGGAAGTCTCTGTGATATGTGGTTTCATGGTAACCACCATTTCATTGGTCCTGCATTTCCAGATACAAGTTCCAATTTTGCAAAATTTTCAAATTCTTAGATTTTGTTTTCCTATTCTTTAATAATTTAGTTCAAATTAAGCTGTCGTTACTTTTCACTATTTATTTTTACTTCCTGATTGGTCTTTTCAATTTAATGTTTCTTGGGTACAACCGTACGAGGGGATATAATATGAGCATTATTGCCATGAAATGGCTTAAATGCTCCAGGGTTCTATGCTTCACTTCTGGATCATCATGTAATGCCTCAAGAAGTATATTTGTGTGTACCCTGTTGTAAAATTTGTGCCTTGGCATTAAATATCTAGTGAACTAAGATACCTCTTTCCGGTTCGAGATGGTGTTATCTTCCTTTTGAATTTTCTTCTGCAACTGTAAAATATTTGGCTCATATTTTAGAGTTTGTTCTAAAACAAGCTTCATTGTAATTCACTTGCAAGTTTGCCTTTCAAATACTTACAGAAAGGTTCGATATTTGAGCATCCCAGTAAGTCAATTATAACAGAGTTGAATATTTGACATTTCTGTATTAGTTGGAAAGTAGGTGTACTAATCTATCTCACACCTAAATACAAATACTATGCATCTTCAATTGTTTTGATTCCACATGTTACACATTGGTTAGAGTAAATTAGGGGTTTCTTTCAATTGTGGAAATTCAAAATCTCATACTTTATCAGTTAATTGTATATTGTCATTCAATTTCTTTCTACTCTAATTAGAAACACTCATTAATGTGAGTGCTGAAACAAAATGAGTTTTTTTTTGTCGGAAGTACAGTACTAATGTGGTTAAAAAAGTATCTTAAGTTCTTAACATAAGGTGTGTCAATTGAGTACGTTGTGTTAGAATTTGAAAATGTCAAAATGATATGAGTTGATAAATGAGTGGGTCATCGATTGATTTTAAAAAAAAAAAGAAGTGGGTCATTGATTTGCTTAAGTGTTACTTGGGCTAAAGCGGGTTGGATTGAAATGAGCTAAAAATTGGGTTCATAATTTAATCTGTTCAACTTTTACTAAGTTGTAACTTTGGGTTTGTTTTCTTATCATTTATTTGAGCACCTAACTGAAAAAAAACTACTCTCTTATGACTATATAAAGCATATTAAATTAAAAAAATTGTCTTAAAAATATTTAAATAAAGAGTTTCGTGTGTCAATCTGAATTGCATATTATCCCAATTTTAAATGAGACTGAACTAAGCAGGTCAAAACGAAAGCATGTCAGGATCACAAGTAAGAGGGATACATACCTCTGGAAACACATTTGACAAAAATGCTTGTCTATGAAAAGTTTTGGCTTATGGTTTCCTTGTCACCTTTCACTGTGATATTTGATTGGATAAATATTGTTGAGAGATGGTTATCAAAATCGTTATATTATACATCATTGATGTAAAAGAACAATAGTACTGAAATAGTGATTTGAAATTCATCGATATTAAAGTATAAAACGAATAAAGCTTTTTTGACGGCATATTGAGAGTCATTTAGTCTCCCACCAATCAAAAATCCTCTGACATTATCAGATAGATCCAAGATCTCTAACTGCGCTTTTACATTTGCAAATTTCTGGAAGTGGTGTGGGATAAATCAATGATAGTAAGTGTGTCACCTCTTTCGGATCTACACATTTCTTTTAACCAACTAGGGGTGACAGTCACCTATTTTTGCTCACCTTATTATTTTACACGCACATAGTAATTACTATTTTAAAAAAAAAATATTTTCCTGATAAATACAAGTTTTATATATTCAAAATTAACTTATTCACGTTGTTTTGTTAGGTTGATGTATTTTTTGTTTCCCAGTCAACGTGGGCTAATTTTTATAACTGGATACTATGATTTAACAAAATATTACATACAAATTTAGTTTAGCTATAAACATAAAGAGAGATTAAAAAAATAAAAAGCTGAAAATATGTTCAAATATTTGCAATTAGATAAGTTCTCAATGATTGTTAATATTTTCCAATTGAATATTTTTTTTATTAAATATCTAAAATTTCAGAGAAATAGTTTTATTTTAAACTTTCAATAAAAAGATAGTGAAAGCAGATTTTAAAACATAGCAGTTAAAATTCATTATGTTGAATATATTTTAAGTGTTTTTAAAAAAAAAATATAACTAAGAATATGTATATATCCACATTATGTTTCTCATTCATTTTACCATCATTGACGAGGTTTATTTTAGCTTTGCAAAGTTATAGTGTCCTTGAGCTGGCCATTGCTTCTTCTTTTTCTTGTATATTTCTTATTTTTTCTTTTATTCTTTGGTGACTCGAACTCATTACCATATGAGCAATTCCCTCTAGTCAACTGGCCATTGCTTGATTTCTACATTTGAGCTTCTAAATTCTTTGCTGTCTCCATTAGTTTTGGTAAACCAAAACCAACACCAACACCAAGAGAGTCAAAATAGGTAATGTTTGCTCAAATTAGAAGTTCGGTCAAAGCCTTACAAACAAAAACCAGCATTTAGGGACATCAATGGACAGAGAGGGGAGGGGTGAGGGCTGCCCCAATCAAACAGGTATAATAAGAATAAAAAAAACACGAAAATTGTTGCTATGTAATCTTTGGGATCATTTTCATCAATTGATTTGAATCGATACATACATTGGCTAAACATACAAGGTATCTGGTGAGCAGAAAGAATTGACAAATGACACCGAAAAGAAAAACCCTACCTCATTACAACAAAATTGTAAGGAGCACAAGCCTGAGAGAAACAATGCTGTGTTGACTCAAATTTAGAGGGGATGAGACAACTAGCTACTTCTCTAGAACTCTCTTTGTTTAACACTCTGACAGAAGGCCACTGGTAAAAAGGAACCTCTGCTGCAATGGCTAGGAACTGCACAATTGGGTGTGAGTAAGAAAGTTACCTTTCACTTCCTAAATGATGGGTTTTTGGCTTGAGAATGTACTTTATCTTAATACCCTTTTCAGTCTCTGGCCTAAACTTGACCTTATTTTTTCTACTTGAAGATGACTGAACAACTCCATCTTTTGGCAGCAGATCGTCAACACTGGAAACAGCGGAATCTTCCCCAGAATCTAATGTTGGGGCTATTTCTGAACTGCTACTTGGCACTTCTGGGCGCTCTGAGAACTTAGTGTCAGGACAACGCATTAACATGACATGATCTCCAGTGATGGCCTCCTTCCATCCTAAATTGATGATCAGATAAATCAGAATGAAAAAGCAGACAATACTTGAAGCTGAATGGTTGTGTTTGTGTGTGCATGTAATACATAGAAACAAGAGAGGTAATAAAACATACTCTGAGCAAGAAAAGCTTTTGCCACGCTAATTGAAAATCCCCAACCTTGATGTGCATTTCCATCAGGAACCTGACAATTCTTATGAGTGCCAGAGCTGTCCATGGGACATGACTGCAAAGGATTTTCATGCAATGACGTCCGATCATCAAACTTCAAAGATATTACACCCTCTTCAGGATCTTGTCTTCCAACTTCATGCCTCACAGGCATATAAAGCTTGGCAGCTACTCTGTTTGACCCAATCTGAAAAGCATTATGCTTAGCTGGCTTCTCAACAATATTGCACTTTTTAGGCATGGCAGGCTCTGTGCTTCCAGCTCCTGCTTCGACAGGGCAGTTTCCCTGTCGGCCAGTGCTCCAATCTTTCACTGAAATAGATAGAGAACCAATCATCACTTCAGAGCTCCTCTGCTTCTGATCGATTGCCTCTTTCTGCACCTCCAGTATTGAAGCATCATCACTTTCCACACTAACTTTTCTAGTCCATATCTTTCTGCTATTAACAGGGGAAACACTGTCCTTGTGCTTCTGTAAAGGTTCAACTTTTGCTTGATGATTTTGATTGCTACCATTTCGGCCAAACCTTTGCGATTTTGGAGCTTGCCACTCAGCATTGGCAGAAAGCCGTCGACTATTGGCAGACACTGGTCGGGGTTCACCATCATGAACTTTGACCGAATCCAGGTGTTGGTGAGAGAGATCACATTGGGATTCAACGCTCATATCTTCATTGCTGGAGAATTGAACCAGTTTAACACAGGTGGAGACGTTCAGAGATACATCAGGAATATCATAATTGGAGTCAGACGGTCCTGGAACGCTATGTACTTCTGCCAATGGAACCTCAAAACAATCAGCCGGTACCTCCAGATTTCCTTTTTCCTCATTTGATTGCTCCCTTGCTTTTGGTTCCTTCTTTCGAAGCTTTTTCACTTTTTTCCTCTCTAATAGCTCAGCTTTCCATTCAGCATTGGCAGACAATGGTTGGGGTTCAACATTCTGAACTTTGACCGAATCCAGGTGTTGATGAGAGAAATCACACTGGGATTCAATGCTCATATCTTCATTGCTGGAGAATTGAACCAGTTTAAGACAGGTGGAGACGTCCAGAGATACATCAAGAATATCAGAATTGGAGTCAGACGGTCCTGGAACACTATGTACTTCTCCCAATGGAACCTCAAAACAATCAGCTGGTAACTCCAGATTTCCTTTTTCCTCATTTGATTGCTCCCTTGCTTTCTGTTCCTTTTTTCGAAGCTTTTTCACTTTTTTCCTCTCTAATAGCACAGGTTTCCATTCAGCATTGGCAGAAAGCCGTTGACTATTGGCAGACACTGGTTGGGGTTCAACATTCTGAACTTCTACCAAATCCAGGTGTTGGTGAGAGAAATCACATTGGGATTCAATGCTCCTATCTTCATTGCTGGAGAGTTGAACCAGTTTAAGACAGGTGGAGACATCCAGAGATACATCAGGAATATCAGAATTGGAGTCAGACGGTCCTGGAACGCTATGAATTTCTGCCAATGGAACCTCAAAACAATCAGCTGGTACCTCCAGATTTCCTTTTTCCTCATTTAATTGCTCCCTTGCTTTCTGTTCCTTCTGTCGAAGCTTTTTCACTTTTTTCCTCTCTAGTTGCTCAGCGTGCCTAGCATATCACAAGAGAAATAATTAAGAAATTCCTATAATAACTATACCACATAGAAGCGGAAAAACCAAGATTCACTGAGATAAGAAGTGACAAGAGTTTTAAGAAACTGGCAGGCTGAGGCCAGAGCCACATTCAAGCAAGGGGGTTTGTATGATACCCCTTGCTCAAATTTTTTACTTATTATACACGTATATAACAAGCCAAAAATAATAAAATGCATGATAAATATAAGGGTTGAATCCCCTTGACTAGAAAGGGAAGCTGGGAAGCTTGATATAACCTATTTTTATAAAACTTGAATCCCCTTGATGAAATTTTTGGCTCCGCCACTGGCTGGGGCGGTAAGTTTTACATCTTCGATTAACTAATCTTTTCATCTGAAGCAGATTGGAAACTGTAATGAATGTACAATTTCCTGTTGGCTTTTCTCTCAGTGTCAACCTTGCCCCATCCAAGGGGTGAATGCTTCCAAGAACTATCACTGTCCTGTCTTTATCTACTTACCTAACAAATAATAAAATAAGTCACTTCTAGCTGAAATGAATTGAGTTATTTGACCTGTCAATTAAGATGCCATTATATAAATCCCCAAGCTCCACATCACTGTATTTTCCTCATTCGTAATTTTAAAAATTGACAAACAAATAAAATACAGAATTGTTTTCTACTTGTAGAGAAATCTGCTTCAAAGAATTAAGGGGTCGTTTGGTTGGGAACAAGTTATCCTGGGATTAATATTCCGGGATAAGTCATCCCACCATATATATGGAATAGCTTATCTTATCCCATTACCATGGTATAAATGATGGGATAAATAATCCAAGGACTACCTAATACCTCCAACCAAATGCATGACAAATTAATCTCGCATTTTATCCTGACATTATTATACCTTATACCTCACACCAAACGACTCCCAAGGGTATAAACTGCACAAGCACATCTTCAGCGCACATAAATATTTTTATTCCAAAAATATTTTTAAGCATCAACATATTTTTTTAAAAATAAATAAGAAACACAACTTTATCAAGTCCTAACTAGTCATTCAGAACACAGGAGCAATGACGATAGAACATAACCTCAGCAAAATACATGAAAAGAGGAGAATAGTCTCACTTTTTTTTAGCAGCTTCTTCCTCCTCAAAAAGCAACCTTTGGCATCTCAAGGCTTCAGCATTTTTTTCATCAGCGCATGCTTTAACCTGAGCATAAATGAACACCAGTTACTGTGGATGTTGGTTTGATGGACAGTATCAGGTAGAGCATTACAAAAGAGTATCTTCATCTACCAGACTTTCAAGAATAAAAATCAGATCCGAATCAAACAGTATCATGCAAATACAGATGTGAAAATATATAGTTTCAACTTTCAACGCATGAAGCCCGAAAGTTCTTTGGAACCTAAAAAGATTCAAAGGAGATAGAACTACCAGCTTCTGTTCAAAAAGGAAGCTAGTGCAAGCAACCAGATTCTTTGAGTCGAAACCAATTTTGTCAGCTTCCCCATCAAAAACATATTTTTCCACCGACTCAGCTGTGCCAACGCATAAGAATGTTCTCTCACTAGCATCATCAAGAATGCTAAATAATTCCTCTGCGGTCACTGGAAGCCTGGAGGGTTTAGGTTGGATGACTTCCTGCAAATTGATCCTATTTAGCTTCATTAGCTCTCATCTCATTTTGCTTTTGTCGTTGGTTTGAGAATACTTGGTAGAAATGGAAATAGAGAACTAACCAACAACTTTGAACCAGCCTTTATATAAACACGAGGAAGAGACCAAATGGCTGGTTTTCCCAAAGCTGTTGCCAAGGCCTGAACAAGTGCAGATCCCGAAGTTTCCTAAAAGAAACATGTCAATCACGCTCTAACACTCTGTAAGGTGTGGGATGGGAGAAATGTACTGTTATGCTTTTTATCGTCTTGACAGACCAACAATCACTTCAGCCAATTTTTTATCAGTAGCTCAAAATAACTCTGTGCTAGTCAAAAACAGTTTCAAAAAGATTTCTAGCATAATCACCATTTGTATATACTCTGTATAGGTTGTTCAGATCAAAAGAAACCTAATAAATCTTTACCAAAGGCATATAATGAGTTTGAATGTGGAAATACTCAATGACTTAAGCAAATTATCTCTGAAAAAAGGAAACAGAGACTACAGTCCAGTTTATGCAAACCCGTGGAAATAAGCTGTAATTTCTCGTAGAGAAAGGGAGGAACACATGCAGGTTTTCTATCTTCTTATCTACCTGAACAGATTAGGAGGGACATATCTTGCTGCACACTGTGAATAGCCAAGGTGATATTCTACTATAGTCAAACTTCTCTATAGCAGCCGGTCTGTTCTGATATTTTGTGGCTTTTATAGAGGTAGGCTGTTATACACCTATAAAAGTACTTGACATTTATATTGGCTGGTGCCATACAAAATAACAAATTATTTAAATTTAAAATTTCAGAAGATATTCATATTTTAGTAATTAAAATTAAAGAGAGCTAATACACCATGAAATTTTTTTGACACTTATAAGATGGAAAACTTCTGTCTAATGGAATACAAAAATGTGTTCATCTTACAATTGTTTTTTTTTAAATTACCGAAGTATGTATATTCTTTGTCAATAGTGGTGTAATGTATTAAATATTAAAATATTTGGTCAAAATACTAGACCTATTATTAGTCAACAATAACAACATACCTAGTGTAATTCCACAAGTGAGGTCTGGGGGGATGGTGCCTACGCAGCCTTACACAGGATCAAGTATGGAAAGGAAGATACAATAGTCAAATTAAATGTCTAGCACTAAAAGTGGGAAATAGCAAAAAAAATTGAACATTAAAATAACGTGGGAAATAGAAAATTAAAAATCAATTAATATTTGAGTAAGACTGTTATATAGGGATAATTTTACAAAGAATGTATTGTTATAGTGATGGTTGTTGCTGTTACAAGTAAAATGTTGTTATAGAGGGGGTAAAACATAATATAAAAAATTAGTTCCAAAGAAAATTTGGTTCTTATAGTGAAATACTGTTATAAAGGGTGGTTGTTATAGAGAAGTTTGACTTTACTCTTCTAGAGGCATTCTTCTACCTTTAGGTAATTCTACATTATCATCACATTTCTGTGTTACAATTGCAACTGGAAGAAGTCACTTTAAGTTCCATTTCAAAAAGACCCACTTCAAGTACTAAGTCAAGAAAAAACATACATAAGAGCAGGAACATGGAAAGCAATTACCTTTAGTGAAATATCTTGCAATGATACAACTTCCTTAACCTCATCTACCGAGAGCTGTATGTAGCAGCCATATAACAACATAATAAGTATCAAGGAATGGGTACACAAAAAGAAGAATTAGGGAGTGAGGGAGAAGTACCTTGTCCCAAAAGGCTCCCAAAAAATCCCTGTATTTCTGAGACTCCTACAAAATGTAAATAAAACATAAGATTCAGCCCATGCACACCCAACATTGACTAGTAAAGATGATATCGTTACCTAATCAGAAAACAAGAATGGAAATCATATTGCAAGTGGCAATTGACATACCAGTGTTCTCAAAGACAAAAAGAGTTAAAGCATCAATTTCTGCTAGGACTCTGATGTGCCTCTAGTTATAAAAGCTTATTCTAGGAGGCCAAAATAAACAATTAAAAGACTTAGTAACTGTCATGCGACAGTTATGGGGTGGTTTTCTGTAGAAAAAGGGGCAAAACAGTTAGAAGAGGGTGTTGAGAAAAAGGAAAAGGGAATTCTGGAAGAGTTGTCGCCTCTCAAATGTCTAGAAAGGTTGTGATCTGTTTAATCATAGGTTATGTATTATATAACTAAAGTTCATTGATGTCTTAGGATGTAATTTATGGTGTTTGGCAGTGTCCTAGTGATTTTTTTTTAGACTTCTGGTTGTAATATCAGTGTATCTAGTGTGAAATAACAGTTTTTGTTCCTTTATTTACTATATCAGCGGTAAAGTCTATCAGGCTCTAAGCACAAAGGGAAATTTAAGTGTGCCCATAATGAAGAAAAGTGAAAACGGAGAGAGAATGTAAAATATATATGTACTGCAAGAAACAATAGCTATAAACACAGATACAATTATACAGTTGAAGGATTGAAAGAATTGCAAGTGAATTATATGACTAAGAAAATATTTAAAATCAAAAAATATATTAATTGAGTTTGCAAGGCATTTTAAATTTCTGAGTTATAGAAAGTTTTTTTTTGAAGTGTCAGGCTAAAACTGGCTAAACTTCATATAATAATTACTAAACATCTAATATCATATTTGTTCACAATGTCTCCTTTGCATTTAATATGTCATTCTTTCTTTCTAACTATACTTATTGATTAGTGTCACTCTCATCAAGAGAGAATCATGGCCATGCTAACACCTTAAAGTGCCCTTCACTAAAGCACCCTTAACAAGCACCATGTGCTACACTTAATTTAGGATTTAAGCAGCCTTTACAATAACTACACGTACACAAATGGTAAACCTCCAAATCTATTCCGGCATTAAAGCAGAGTAACATAAAAGAAAAAGGCCTCCAAGATATACCTTATCAGAATTTGAGGATCTACGGTGCAGACGTATATGTCTTCGGTGATTAATAGGTGAACAAAATTCCCTGGAACACTTCTCACACTTCTGCATCTTAAGGTTTGAAGGATTCGATAATGACCATCCAGTAATATCTGCAAACAAAATAGAAGTAACAGAAGCCAATCAATATTCATGGCTTAAGCCACAATCCTGTATGCGGCCTATTACAAACTGGAGAATCTTCATATAGACCTTTTCAGGTTACTTATTGGCCTCCTCAGCTAATGCATCAAGCACTGTGGCTTAAAGCATTTTGAATGACTTAAACTCACATTCTATCCCAACTTGAGGTCCACAAGCTATTGAAATATTGAAAAGTTCCTTGATCCGCACAGTGGGCAGATGGATCCCTCTACTCTTTTCCAGAGGTCTCGGGTTCGAGCACTGGAAATGGAGAAACTCCTGGTATGAAACACTTACATACGCAAAGGGAATCCGCATTACTAGGGCCAATGGTCTTTGGATTCTGGATGGTTAAACCATTAAAAAAAAAGACATGTTGTATTCTATGAACACCAAGTTCTAAATTTGTTACCTGGCTGATCCATAGAATGAAGCCACTGCATCCACTGAACAGGACCTTCCCCAGTTCTTGGTAGGGGTTCCTTTCCCATAGCTTGCCTGATGAAAGTATCAAGCGAATTGTTCACCTGATCCGCTATTTTCTTTGCATCTGGAGTTCCACCTGTATTGAGCTTTGCCACTGGCATCTACACACAATTAATAGATCATAAAAGGGAACTTCAGAAAATAATTTTGACATACACAAATTCTTTTGATAAGGAAAAACTTGGCATATACAAATAAAAAGAAGAACATATTCAGCAGCATGAGTTAGATACATGTCTGCATGCATGCTTATCTTGTGCTCGTATAGGAAATGTGTGTCCTGGCAGCGACGAGCTCAAAATATGGGGAAAAAAAAACTAAGCAAAATGAAATGGGAGGACAAGAACTACAAAGATCATTCTCAAAAAAAAAAAAAACATTGCCCAGAATAGATGTGGCAACAACTGGAATGTAATGCTCAGAAGAAATGTGCAGGATTGAGAGATGGGAAGTCTGCTTGAACTACTTGCTAGTGTGGAAAAATATAATAAGAATGAGAATTGTGCTGAAAATTGGTATGGGGAAGAAACAACACCTTCACTGTGAAAGATTGTTATCATCAAATATGCTGTCAGAACCAGATCATTGAACTTTGTCCCTGGAAACTTATTTGGAAGACCAAAATGCCTACCAAGATCATCTGTTTTTGTTGGATTGCTCTCCAGGAAGCATGTTCAACACAAGATAATCTCAACAAAAGAGGCGTCGATCTGGATAATAAATGCTATATGTGTCAGAATAGCACAGAAACAGTCAATCACCTGCTCCTTCACTGTGCAGTGGCCAAGGTCCTATGGAATATGTTCTGCTGCATTTTGGCTTACAATGGGTCATGCCACATAATTTGAAAGAAGCCTATGCGAGCTAGAATACATGGAGAGTTGATAGGTCCATCAAGAAAGTCTGGGTGATGATCCCTGGAGTTATTTTTTGGTGTTTATGGACTGAAATGAACCTTAGATGTTCTGATGGGATCTCAACTCCAAACCACTCCCTTAAAGCTAGATGTTTACTTATGCTGTTCAGTTGGGTTAAGTTAACGCCTGTATTTAGCACTGAACAAATTCTTGACTTTGTTAGCTCTCTAGTACTAGTTTGAAGATTGTAAAGGAGCTAACAACTTTTGCTTATGCTCTGTGGGCCCTTTTGCCTATTATTCTGCTATTGCATCTGCTTGATGCTTTTTAATGAAATACCTTACTTCATCAAAAAAAAAAAAAACTATTGTGTTCAAAATAGAAAGGATTTATACAACCCATAACTTGGCCTACTGTCAGGCAGAATAGTAAATAACATAGCACAGGTATCAATAGATGTCGATAATTAGACCAAAAAACAGAATTCTCAGAAGAACAAATTGAAAAAGTCAAATGACTGGGCATATCTGCAATATCCAATCATCTGGAGATTAAACTGCTTATTAAACTCTAAATTTAGAGACATGCTATAAGTGGAGTAAGGGGAATAAAAATATTTGTTGAATCCCATCTTAGATATTTTACCACAATTCATGTAGATTTTCTAGGTGAAACTTGAAGATCTCTGTTGCATAAATTTGGCTTAAGTAGGTGCCAGGGGTTAAACTATGAGAGCAAAACCTCTACCCTGCTCCCTCTACCAATTTGTTAGTCTGGAGGTAAAGGTCACTTAAGCAATGCGTCTTCATTTCGAGAAAGTGCAAAGCTAAATTTCCCCAAGCCACCACTGACCCAAAGACACATAAGTTCTTGGAGGTTCTTTTGGATTGCCTTAATAGGCTACACTAAATAAACCCAAAGAACACATGATGATGGCAGTGCAAAGTACAAACAGGCCCTGGTAGTAGGCTTGCTTTACTGGTGTTCAAAGACTTAAAGCTGGCTTGTTCATTTCGCATTTTAATCTAGAAGTAATTTGGTCAAATTGTATCAGTTACTTGTCTTTCTTCTCCATTCACGAGGAAAAGACCTCTCAAACGCAAAGAGTTTGTCATGTACCAAGCAAGAAAAGCTACACAGAGACTCAATCCTACGTAGTATACATATAGTTTGTCTGAAGCAATAGTAAATTGACTATTAGTGACTACTACTAAGCATTCCTTGAACAACTGGATGTTAATTTGCTTGTTACTTTGACAGTAAAGTTTACACCAATCCTCCAATCAACTTGATATTCTGTGAACTTAGACTTCTGTATGTACCAAAGGTGAATGGAATGAGAAGAGGAAAGAAAAAGGCAAACTCTGTATGATTAGCAGCTGTTACAAAAAGTAGTGTTTCTTGGAAAAAGAGGTTTTCCTAATAACATCATTAATGATCCCAAACTAAATCCATCTGACAAGCCAAAGAGGTATTGAAGCATTTGAGTCTAATCTCAACTAAATCCCATTGACGACTCAGAGGTGTATTAAAGAATTTGACCTATTCTTCCCATTTCAATTCAAGTTCCCATATGCTCCCAAAACGAATCAAAAGCTAGATAACGAATCCTTTAGCAAACACGATTGTAGTTCACATCCCCACTAAATACCTGATATGCCAGCTCTAATTATCTAGTTCCTAGAACAGTTTATTTTATATTTTTTCCTCAAGTTCAGATTTCCTCAAAGATCCAACAGGTAAATAATGGTATCCACGTGTTTACTATATTCCAGAAGATAATGCCAATGCAAATCTCACTTGGAATATCTCAATGATAACTCATAAGTTGGTAGAAATTTGCACACATGCTCCAAGACGAAATTCAACTGGATCTCTACTAGAATGCTAAAGTAAAAAATCTTCATTCCATTATCATAAAACAAAAAAAACAAAGTATTGGTTGGCAAAGCAGCACACAAGACCAAAAATTTTCTGTAGTGTTGGCATCGCGAAATAGTTGCTTATCTGCACTTATTATACAACAAGAAGATAAGTTTACTTTGAATCCACCAACAAAAAATATCATTCTCAATTCAAAGGTTACTAACTCATTGCCACCTGGTCCATGACTATTATCTGTATATAAGCTGGTCACCTTTTTTGTTTTCAAGTAATAATTTCTTTTAAGACCAAAGCTTGTTGCTACCAAATTCTTAACTAAATCCGTAAAAACTACCAAGCAATAAATCAAACTGCATATACAAGAAACATGTTGAACTGATTCTCCAATATATTGTCCACATTTATATAGAACAGACATGCTATTGTGAACTCCAATGTACTTCAAACCTAACAAATACTCATAAACAGAAAGAAATGGTAGCATGGATAGATCATCAAGAACACAGTAACCAAAAATTGCTTCGACCAATGAGTCAACCCCCACCCCACCCACACAAAATTCTGCATTCCAATTCAAATCCAATCTATTAGCACTCCTCCCTTTTTCATCATCCAAACAAGATTGGCATTCACGAATTTACACTTAGGACAGGTCCACTATATATATACTAAAACAAGTACTTACTATTTTGGTACTCAGATTCTTTTCTAAATGCCTTGCTCAGTGACTCAAATGCTCTACAATTTCGATTTTTTTTTTAAATGCCTTTCCAAGTGACTCAGATGCTCTACAATTTCGATTCTTTTTAAAATGCCTTGCCCAGTGACTCAAATGCTGTACAATTTCGATTATTTAAAATGCCTTGTCCAGTGAAATACCCCCAAATCATTTGGGATCAAGGAGTAGTAGATACACTTATAATGAAGAAGAAACCCAAGAAGCAAGAATTTAATATATGCATGCATATCCAATGCGAATAATGAACAATCAACACTACAAACAGACAACATATCAGATCAAAGTACAACTGCATCCAAAATTTTCGCCTACAATGATTTGAAGTGAGGTGATCGGTGATCGGAAAGTAGCATATATCATGTTAAAGAAGAAGAAGAAAGGTGGCATATACCAGTCCAGTCCAGTGTGGTGTCTGACAAGGATCGAGATATCAATGGCGGTCGAAGAAATTAGAAGACTTTGTTGCTTACATGAAGATGAAGAGAAGTATTAGTCTATTTATCGAAAAAGAAGGGACTGGTCGGAGAAATGTTCAGAGAAATGGGGAGGTACAGACAGACGAAGAAGAAAAAAAGTGCGTATAACAAGGAGAAAAAATACGTGGAAAATGAAGGACAAAATAGAATCTCTTTTTTTTCTTTTTTTTTTTTTTTTTTTTTTGGTCTGTATATTCTAGTTTAAAGTAAGCGTGGCAACGGGACCGGAACCGGGACTACCGGGACGGACCAGAATCGGGACGGAACCGTACCAGAATTGGGACAGACCGGAACCGGTAATTCGAGAAAAAAATATGTTTACCCATCCCGGACCGGTAACGGACCAGACCGGACCGGAAACCGGGTACCAACGGCTATATTTAAAAAAATATATATTAAAATTAAAAAATTACAAACATTACTCAAATAATATTAAAACTTTTCTAATTTTAAAGTTAAAAATTTATACTTTTAAAGTTTTAAATACAAACTTTCAAACTTTAAAAGTATAATAGTTTAAATTTGACACTTTAAAAGTTGGAAATTTAAATTCAAACTTTAAAACTATAAAACTATAAAAGTTTAAATTTCACACTTTAAAAGTTTGAAAATTTAAATTCAAACTTTAAAACTATAAAACTATAAAAGTTTAAATTTCACACTTTAAATTTTAAAAGTTTGAAAATTTAAATTCAAACTTTAAAACTATAAAACTATAAAAGTTTAAATTTCACACTTTAAAAGTTTGAAAATTTAAATTCAAACTTTAAAACTATAAAACTATAAAAGTTACACTTTAAAAGTTTTAAAATTTAAATTTAAATTATAAACTTTAAAACTATAAAACTATAAAATTTAAATTTCACACTTTAAATTTTAAAAGTTTGAAAATTTAAATTCAAGAGTCAAGACAATAATAAAAAAAAAATTAAGGAATAGCCTATACTTTTATTAATATTAATTAAATAGTACAAGTTGAGTTACAAAATATTAGTAGAGTATTAAAAAATCTAATCTACACAGCCACCTTCTAGGAAGGGTTCTGTTTGAATTAGACCTCGAATTATTATACTCATACTAATAGACATTTAAATTTAATAGTTCATGATACCAAGGAAAAAATAAATAAATCATTTAACATTTCTCTAGTAACATGCTCTGGAATTGGTTGATTAGCTAGTTTCTCCATTGCAAAATCTTGCATTATTTCATCAACGTCATTTTCAAATTTGGTCGATAAAGGTGGATGACCATAACTCCTTCTCTCGCCATTAATCCAATCTCTAAATAGTACCGATATCTCCAAGCTATCTGCTGCTAATGAATATCTATGTTCTCCAAAGTTACTGAAGATGCTTAAATAGCTAACACATCTCGAGCAACCGGTTGAAGTTTTGGAAATCCCTGGCCGCGATTGCTCCACCATTCTAGAAGATCAATAGTAGTAGGTTCTATATTTTGATTAATATATGCATCAAAATTATTTCTGAAGATCAATAGTAGTAGGTTCTGTATTTTGATTAATATATGCATCAAAATCATTTCTATCATTATGAGAAAGTTCAATAATACCATCTATCATATCATCCATATCATCTTCATTATTATATCTACTCCTAGAACTTTGAGGTTGTTTGTTATGTACTACATTCCTTATATTAGAATTATACAAGTCATACAGTTTTCTAGCTTCAATTTTTATACTATCTTTAACATCTTGACAACTAGGTGTTTCATCATCTTCACTATCAATACCCAAATTAAAATATATTTTATCAACCATTCGTTATGCACCTTCATCTTTGTAATGTGGGTTTAACAAACAAGCAGTTAAATAAATTTGAGGAATAGGAATAAAATATTTTTTAAATTTTTCAATCATTTTCTTAACAGATTCTTCAAATCTTGGTTTATTTTTGAATTTATAAAATTTACTAGAAATAACACAAATATTAGGTAAAACATAGCAAATAATTAGATAATAAAGTGCAGATATTTTTTTTGTAGTTAAATAAAAATCTTTTAATAATTCTATAAGTTATTTTATGTCATTCCAATCATTATCATCAAATCTATATGTCATATTTGAATTATGAGCATTCCAAACCATTTGTAAAGGTTTCCTATATTCATAAGTGACTTCAAGCATTTCATATAAAGAATTACATCTAGTACACACTGATTTTGGAATTTTTCTAGGTGGAGATTAAATTCACGATAACGATTTTCAAAATCTCTACGTCTAGACTTAACTTGACATTTAAAAATAAAATGACATGCAGTTTCAACTTTTATGCAACCATCATTGTACATTGATATACCATCTCTAACAATCAAATTATATATGTGTGCAACACACCTAATATGAAAACCAGCAATATAAATAGGGCAAAGAAACAGTTTTAGTATTTCAACAGCAGTTCTATTATTAGAAGCATTATCTAAGGTGACAC